AAAAAAAAAAAAGTACAGATTTTCTATACAGTTCTGCTATCTTTTACTAGAATTGTTGACTTGTGATAAAATCATGTAAGATTTTATTTCTTGGTAACTTTGGCTTATACAACTTATCTTTAAATCCTTGAGCAACTTGTATACAATTAAGAGATTTCTGACATTTATTCTTACCCTAAGTTGATCAACTCTAGAATTTAGGCATTTTTACTTTCATTGAGTTTTGAATCTCTCCAGAGTTGCATGTAGATACCTTTTATTTCTGTGCATTTAAAATATCCATTTAGAAAATACCTACAAGGTAAAATGATAAGAAATAGACATGTATTTTTTCATGAACATTTTGATACACGTTTCATCAAGTTTATTGATTAGCCAATTTCGTACACTGGTTATAATAGTATTTGATTCAAAGAGAAGGAAGCATTCATTATTGATATATGGGCTTTTTTATTCCCTTCTTTACAAATTATCAAGGTTGGGGCTGTCGAATTATATTTTTATCATGGAAAAAAAATTCAACTCCTCAAGTCATAATGTTGAACAGAATTGGAGTATTTTCTTTAGAATTACTTGAAAGGCAAATGAAAGCTTATTATAGAATGCTTGTATTTTCTTTTGTCTCTCTGGAACCAGTATATTGCTGGCAGCTATTGTATTAAAATAAAGTATATTTTCACTATCATAAAAGGGTCTTTTTTTTTTACCCTCATGAAAATAAATAGCAACTTGGGATAAAGTGTTTTATTTGAGATTTTTTTTCCACAAGTGGTTCAGAACAATTAATAGATTAAAGGAGAAAAACCATATCACCTCAATAGGTGCATAAAATATTTCTTTTTTTTTTGCATAAAATGTTTCATAAAAACTTTCATGATACTCATTCTTAGCAAAATAGATCAGAAGCAAAAAACTTTTTTAACTTGATAAAGACGTCTGCCAGGAATTACAGCAAATTTCATATGTGACTGTGAAATAGAAGTCAGGAATAAGACAAGATTGCCCTCTATCATTGCTGCTACTACCCAGCTACTTTTCCATAGTTGATTAGAAGCATCCTAGCCAACGCGGTCAAATCAGTAAAAAGGATTAGGAAATAAAAAGAATTGACCAAATGATTACTCTTTGCAGATGAATGCATATATATAAAAGAAGTCCAAAATAACCTACTATTAGAAACAATAAATTTCAGCCAGAATACTAGATACAAGATTGAGGAACAAAAATCAATAAACTACTATATACTAATATTCACCATGTTAAAAATTAATAGGTAGAAACATTGCTATGAGAGGGTGAAAAAAACGGCGTAGGCGATAGAGGCTTTGTTCATACCTCTTGCGACCACATCAAATTTGTGATAAGCACAGAGCAAACAGCAAGCAAAGTTGCCTGGGATCTGGATGACCAGAAGCACTCCGAGTAGGGAGAAAAATAAGAAGTCACTCTGCAATGGTAGAAAGTAGGAGGGGGCGAAGACGCGAGGCTTCCTGGTCCCCAGCAGCTGACTGGGACAGAGGCTGCGGCAGCGGCAGCCAGTAGCTGTAGACGCCTCTTAGAGGAGCTGTGTCAGCGAGTGAATTTTCGTGGTGATGGACCTGCTTGCTCTGAGTACCAGCGCTGGGCCAGCTGCTCGGGGGTCACCAGGGACTTACAGGGGACACTGAGTTGTTGAAGCAAGGACTGGAGGCAAGAATTTCTCCCAGGTAGAAGTGCTGGCAGTATCCATTGTTCCTCTGTTGAGGTCTCCCCGCTCCCAGTGTGTGGATGCAGCACTGCCATAGCTAATAAGTCATCAAACTGGTAAGAAGTCACTCAACCCACAGGATTCCCTGAAACTCCACCTCCCCCAGCTCGCAGCCCCACCTAAGCCACAACCAGTTATGTCTTGGGGGAGTCCTGTGCTCCTTGCTGAGCCAATTCCAAGACTCTCACTGGTGGCAACTGACCTCGGTTTCTGGCGTGGCCTCTTGAGGCAACTGTAAGTGCAGCATCTGCGGATTGCTTGTGGAGTCTTAATAGTTGGCCTTGGAGGGGCACAGGCTGGCGCTAAACTTAGCCTGCAGTTGAACCCCTCTCAGGACTGTGCCACTGGACACTTACTACACAAAGACACACTAATAAGGCTGCGAGACTTAGGAGCTTTGCTTAGTACACAGAGATAGACACAGAAAGGCAGCCAAAATGGGAAGACAAGCAGGAACCATATGAGAGAACAGAACAGAGATCCAGGAATAATGGAGTCAAGCATTCTAACAGATGCAGAGTTCAAAACACTGGTTATAAAGATGCTCAGTGAACTTAGGGGAAGAGTAGATGAACTCAGAATTTTAACATAAATAACAATGAAAATGGAAATTATAAAAGGGAACCAGTCAGAAATGAACACATCAGAGATGAAGAGTGTATTAGAGGGCATCAACAGAGTGCATAAGAAGATCAAACCACTGATACGGAGGATGGAGAAGCCAAGGACACTCAATCAGAATGGCAAGAAAAAAGCCAATACTATAATTTAAGGAGCCTATGGGATACAAATGTAAAAATATCCATGTCATAGGATACCTGAAGGAAAACAAGAAATTGAAGAGCTATTTGAGGAAATGATGGAAAACTTCCCTAACCTGGTGAAGGAAACAGACATACAACCCCAGGAAGCTCAGAGAGTCCCAAAAAAGATGAACCCAAAGAGGCCCACACTAAGACATAATTAAAATGCGAAAGGTTAAATACAAAGAGAATCTTTAAAGCAGCAAGAGAAAAGCGGTTACCTACAAGGGAGCACCCATAAGCCTGGTAGCTGATTTCTCAAACTATGCAGGGCAGAAGGGCTTGGCACAAAATAAATTCAACATGATGAAAGCCCAGGATCTACAACCAAGAATACTTTATCCAGCAAAGCTACCATTTAGAGTTGGCAGATAAAGAGCTTCTCAGGCAAAAACAAGCTAAAGGAATTGATCAACACCAAGCCAGTATTACAGGAAATGTTGGAGGGATTTCTTTAAAAAGAAAAAAACATGTATCAAAAACAGGAATAAAGAATGGTAATAATTACATATTTATCAACAAATACCTCAAATGGAAAAGAATTAAGTGCTCCAACCAAAAGATAGGGTGGCTGAATGGATAAGAAAACAAGACCCAGTACTACATATGCTGCCAACAAGAGACTTCAGATTAAAAGACAGGGGATAGAAAAAGATATTGCTTTGATGGACCTCGAGGGTATTGCGCTGAATGAAAAGTCAGAAAGACAAATATCACAATTTCACGAACATAGATTTCTCTAAAGAATAAAACAACAAACAAACAAAAAAAACTAGCAATATTGGTTCCTTCTGTAGGAAAACAGGGTGACTGAGGAAAATGGGTGAGAAATTGTCAATGTATAATTTTTTGAGCTTTTAAAATGTGTTAAATATATTACCTATCTAAAGTGCTTTAAAAGATACACTAAGATATTTTGGTTCAAATCTAATAAAGACTATGTAATTTCTTTACAACAAAATATTAAGGGACCTTATAGAAATCTATTCAATAGATAGGTATACCATGTTCATAGACGAAGAACGTAAAAGCATAGTATTTCAATTGTTTCAAGTCATTTATAAATTCAATATATTTTCCAACAAACTCAACAGGTTTTTTGGGGGGGAACTAGATTAATGGATTTAAAAAATTCATATGAAAGAATTATGCCCCCCAAATAGCCAACATATATCTGGAGTGGGGAGGGAAAGAAAGGAAACTTACCTGAAGATATAAAGACTTAAAAGCTTACAGAAATTGTTGCATAGGATATAGTAGGTCACAGCAATACAATACTCTTGTTGAAACTATCAGAATAAAAGATTTACAGTGCCAAAATAATAGTTTTAAACATCAAAATTGTGGAAGGAACAAAGACTAAATGAATTGGAATTTCAGAGGAGTAAGTCTTTCTGAGGCAAATTGATGGTTTGGCCATTTTCTCCCCTGGGGGCATATGTTGATTCTGGGCCTGGACTTGAGGTTTAGGTTTAGTCCATGCAGAGGGGCTCTACTGGAGAAAAACAATCACAAGGTTCTCGATTATAGGGCACACTGGAAACTTGAGAACTCAGATACATGCTTCATTTTCTAACAGGATATTTGCCGAACTCCAGAGCTGATATGGCATGTTAGAAACTAAGCCAGGGGGTTCCAAAAGGCAGAGTGAAATCTCCTACAATCTCACAATATTGAGACAAAATTTCATTAGAGGGAGGGGCTTCCCAGTAACACAAATTGGCCTTTTGTTTTCCTGGCTCTGGGGGTTGGAGGGAGAATTGGTTGCAAACAGGCATAAGGGATCTTTTTGGATGATGCAACTGTTCTAAATATGGACTGTAGATAAGGGTCTAGTATCCAGTTATATAAAAAATTCTTGCAACTCAATAATGAAATGACATCCCAATTAAAAAATGAGCAAGGATTTAAATAGACATTTCTCCAATGAAGATATACAAATGGCTAATAAAAGACCTTATTAGCCATCAGGGAAACCACAGAAAATACTCTCTAGGATGGCTGTAATCAAGAAGGCAGACAATTATAAGTGTTGGCAATGATGTGAGAAATTAAAACTCATACATTGCTGGTAGCAGTGTAAAATGGTGCAGCTGATTTGGAAAACAGTTCGGCAATTCCTTAAAAAGTTAAATGTATCCAGCAATTCCTCTCCTAGGTTTATAACCAAGGGAATTGAAAACTTATGTCTATAGTCTTATACATGGATGCTCAGGGCATCATCATTCATAATAGCCCCCAAAATGGAAACAACCCAAATATCCCTTAACTGATGGATAAACAATATGATATATTCATAAAATGGAATACTATTCAGCCATAAAAAAGTAGATACGCTACAATGTGAATGGACCTTGAGAACATTATGTTCAGTGAAAGAAATATATTCAGCCATAAAAAAGTAGATACAAACTACAATGTAAATGGACCTCGAGATCT